ATGTTTAAAAAATCTTTAAACATTAAAATAAAACTTTTGAAATGTTAACATTATAATCAGACACTCTTTCCTAAATCTACCTACAATTTTATCAGGCTTATAGGACTTTAGATCTCAAAGCTCATATATGTTTATAAATACACTGAAAGATATAAATGTATTTTCCTACATTCTAAAAAACACTATGAAAAATTATTATTTTATTCTGCAGTAGATCACTTATTAATTTGGGACACAGACCAAGATTTCTGGAATAAAAATTTATATTATCACTCTCAACTTGAAAAAGGGTGAATTTTGAACATTGCTCAAAAAAGTCTTGGAGAATAGTAGTATTCATAAACAATACTTTTTTGAATAAAATATAAATTCATGCTGGTATAGTATTCCTAAAGGTTTTTTTTAAATCAGTAACAAATCAAATCAGACAACATTTCTACTCCTTATGCCTTACTGCCCTGCCATATCTTATCAATTTTGCATTTGGAGGCAAAGAGTTATAATTTTCTAAATTGCTGATAAAAACAACTCTATAAAATGGGGAAAGAATAAAGGAGGAACAGCAGTCCATACTTTCAACCTTATTGCTCTGTTGGTCCTTGGAATAGTGAAAACATGTAGGCACGAAGTATAAAAATAAATAGAGATTATACCTCAATTTCCTGGAATGAACTGTTGATCATTGCAATTAACATATTTAGCAAAACGATGACCATTGTAACATTATAGACTCCATAAAGAACATAACCAATGTTTTCAATGAATTTATGGTTATAGTTGATGACCACTGATTTCACTTCAGAAAGTCCAAATATAGCCCAGAACAGTGTCTTAAAACTCTCCTCCACTCTGGGGAAAAATAAAAGAATGAAAAGAAATAAGAAGGTACATAAACAAGTAACAATAGTACCATAATAAGAGTGAGTCAATTTAGTGTCTTTGCAAATACTAGGTATTCATGAGAAAATCTTTACTTCTCTGAAACTTATTTTTCTTTTCTGTAAATCAGGTACAACAGGATTGTTGCAAGGATGAGGTAATATTGTGCATATGAAGTACATAGTCATATAGCTCAATATCTGGCACATTATAAGCAATAAATTCTTATAACATAACTTTATAACCATAGATATTAACGTTTAAATACTCCATAGCTTTGGCAATGGAAGTGTTAAATGTATTACTTAAAAATAACACAATTTGTTAGAGTCCTTTTAGGTTTCCTGCTGATCTATCCTTCTACTCATCCAGTAAATAGATAATAATAGTATATGTCTTAATAACAAAAATGACTATATAAACAGACAATGTAACCCAAACCACTGATATATCTTAGGTAGGAATCCCAATGCTTTAGGCATGCTATTGACCAAAGCTAAGCCCATCTACTTAACCCAGGTGATTTCATTTTCCTGACAAACTTCATTTTAGAAGAATACAGTAAACAGTAGGTTATGCTTCAGTTGATGCTTCTCATTGTAACACTGAAGACCTAATAGTTGAGTAATCTGTCCTAAACATTATAAAAAACACATGTGCCCATGATGAACATAAGTCAAAACTCTTGTCACTATTGATAACTCAGATCTTCTCAATGATAATATGGGAGAAATGGAATTAGCAAAGCAGCTGTTTTCATAGTCAGGTCCCCTGGAGTCCCCAGTAAGCATAAAGGCACAGAGTACAGAGCAACAGATGTGAGAGTCAGTAAACAAGGGTCACATCTTCACTTTTCCAAATACTAGCAGCCTGGGAACAGTTAGCAAATTATTTAACTTTTGTGAATTTCAGTTTCCTCTTTTTGTGAAATTGAGATAATAAAAGGATGCATGTGAGAGATTTACCATAAAACCTGGCTCTAAAAATGTTAGTTATTATTATTTACTATTAGGAAGGGTCTTACATCTTAGAGTTTTTCCAACTCATTTTAAAATCATCTCATTTTGTGAAAGAAGAACTAGAGATGAAGTCTTTACTAAAATATTATTTATCCCACGGACTTATATAAACACTGTTAAACTAACATTTATTTAATTTGCAATAACTATCACCAGAATATCTGAGATCACATACGTTGTGAAAGCTTCATTCTGTTTTGCGCCAATGTAGTAGGAGTAGAGGTTGAACATTCCAATCATAAAGGCCACAAACACCATGATGAATATGACCATGAACTTGAAGATATCTTTTACTGTTCTTCCAAGTGATATCTGCAGAGGTCCAAAGCTTTCATTTGCTGGTAAAATATAAGCTATTCTGGAGAAACTTAAAACTACAGCAATTGCATAAAGACCTTCAGATATAATTTGAGGATCGGAGGGGTCCCACTTTATCCTGGCTAGGAAAAAGCAAAGACAAGAGTTATGGTGAGTTTATGTTGTTTATTTAGGTAACTTTTTTTCTGAGAGAGAAAAATAATTAGCAATCCATTTCCCAAATGGAAGTCTCTGATCTTAAAGGGCTTCTTAAGTGTCAACTATTTGAGCTTCTGAATTTATTAAGAAGATGACCCCCCTGATTTGCTAGCAAGTTTCCATAAAGGTATAGCATAATAGTTAAGAGCTCAACTATAGACTCGGTATCTATAAAAATTCATACATATATAATTCACATATATATAAAATCTCAACTGAGATAACTTGTGCAAATTACTTAACTTCTCTTAGTTTTATTTCCCTATTTTTAAAAATGAGATAATACAACTCCTACCTCTCTCATCTGTTATGAGAATTCAATAAGTCAACATATGTTCAGTGTTTAGAAAGTGCTTGGTACTTAATAAATGGTAGCACTTATTATTTAATCTTAAGCTATAATTACAATATAATGTAATTTGGGGCATATAGAAAACTTGCAGTTATTTAAACTTATTAGAAGTAATTTTTATTGGTCACTCAAACAAGTCTATTTTCACCATAAAATGCAGCAATTATTCACTTATAAATTTTTATGCATTATTACATCAGGTCATCAAAAACCCAATTAAGAAACCATTATGAATAAAAATAGAAAACAGAGTGTAAGAAAGAGGAAAAACATGATTATAAATTTTTATTTGCTTATTTTTGAGAAGTGGAATTAGGAAAGGATAACAAACTAATAAAAGCAGTTTCATTTTTTATAAGTGCTTTGCATATAAGTATCATCTATAAAAAGATAGCTGTGACTTTTAAAAGTTCTATGTTTAAAAAATCTTTAAACATTAAAATAAAACCAAAAATAATAATAAAAAGGGGCTCTTGTGTGATATAAATGATAAACCCATAGAGGTATCAAGTGAATGTTAACTGATTTCTTAACAGAGGGTTTGAAATTAGTATTCAAAGGGAATATATTTTCCCCAATCCATGTTTCTACAAGTAGGGATTTTCCTAAAGCAAATAACTGGACCTATTTTCATTCCTTAGTCACTTCCTCCTGGGGAGGTGGAATGACTTATCTGATTGCTGAATTGGAATGACTAACTTGGCATCCTTGGTTCAGCGTTACCTACTTTCTCTTGAGAATTCTCCTCTAGTCTTCCATGGAGGAGTCTCACCTGATCAGGCACTTGCTGCCATCCCCCTTGGGAGAACTGCCCTGATGCATTGATGTCTAGAAATTGGAGGATATGTTTGCCTAGTTCTGGGATATCACGGAGCCTACTGGCTAATAGATTCAGACTGATGTCATCCACCCTGAATTTTATCAGTATCAGAGGTGATGATCTGACCTCCAGATTAACTTCTTGTTTTATTTCTCAACTAGTTCAGAACCTGGTTGGGAAACAGTGGTGTTATTTATTGGAGGTCCTCTCAGAGATCTCAACATTTCTTTTGCTTTCAAATGGTTTATGTTTTAAATGGACATGGTACTCAAATGTAAACTTTTTATTGTATATATTTATGGGTTATAACATGGTGTTTTGATATATGTATACATTGTGTAATGATTAAATCAAGCTAATTAACATATCCATCACCTCACATACTTATCATTTTTTATGGTAAGAACATTTAAAATCAACCCTGTTAGCAATTTCCAAGTTTACAGTACATTATTGTTAACTATAGTCACCATGTCATACAACAGACTCCAGAACTTATTCCTCCTGTATAACTGAAACTTTTTATCTTTCACCAAGATCTTCTCATTTTGCCTCCACCCCAGCCCCTGGCAACCACCATTACTCTCTAATTCTATGAATTTGACTTTTTTAAGATTCCACATATAAGTGAAATCATGCAGTATTTGTTTTTCTTTGCCTGGCTTATTTCACTTAAGATAATGTCTTCCAGGTTCATTCATGTTTTCACAAAAATGACAGGATTTCCTTTTTTTTTAAAGGCTGAATAATATCCATTGCATATATGTACCACTCAAATGTGAACTATTTGTAACAGAAAAAAGGAAAAAAATAAATCCAAGACATAAGGAAGACATTCTCAATGAAGTTTGGTTGGTAGCCAATTGATCCAAGACATAAAAGGAGATGATTTCTGTGACTAAGAGAGGCTTCCAGCCAGTAGAAAAATTAAAGGAAGAAGCAGAAAGCATGCTTCTTCAGAGAGGTGCTCATTCTTTAGATACAGATGTTGGAAACTATCCAACATTTTACAAATTGGGAAGTAACTCAACTATTACTGGCATCTATCATACAAGAAAATTATGCATATTTATTAATTTTTGTTGACTATGTACTGGAAACTCACCCAAATTGTAGTATTTCACATTATCTCCCAATGTAACTTTTGTCAAGTCCTTCAAAGTATCATTGGCATCAATGATGCTCTGGGCTTTGGAAGCATGCCAAAATGCCATGAATCTTGCAATGAATGATGCTGCGAAGATTGCTAACATACCAAAATCAAGCATGTTCCACAACTCAAACAAGTATTCCTTGGGACCTTGAGTCCAAATTTCTTTACATTCAGCCCATATCATGCCTGCATTAGAAAGGAGTTAAAATTTCAATTCAATTTCATTCCAGCCTTAGTTCTTCAATAAAACAAAATAAATTTTAAAGGTCTCAGCCTGACCTTTAAAATTTAGCCCCAACCTTCCTGGCCAGCCATAATTCCCACATCCCCACAAATCCCATAGTCTAGCAATATCGGTGCATTACCTGAAAGCAATTTGACAAAGTTCATTGACAGCCTTAAGATAACAAATACCTTGTTGATCAACTAATTCCACACATAAAAAATATATTTAAATGATTTTTATTGTAGGATACTTTATAGTAATCAAAACACACAAACATGCCCACATCAACACCCTGAAATAGAAATAATCACAGCCCTTCTACAGATGGAATATTATGCAGCTATATAATATGATATTGTATCAATCACCATGGAGTAGTGTCCAGGTGAATGTGCCTCACTGACCTCCAACTACAGGACTGTGACTGAACATGGGCCTCAGCTATTGCCCTCTGAAAATCATTGCCACTTTTGTCCAAGGCCATGCATGCTTCCCCTGAATTGCTCCCAGCCGATAACTGAGGGTGCCCCTTCTTGGGAGACATGGGACTCCTCTGATGGCTGACTGGCTCATGGATTTTGTGGCAGCCTTGCTAAACTTTCCTTAGACTGCATGGAGATCTAGGTTGCTTCTACCCAACCTTCTTTCTCTCTCTCTTAGTCCCTTGGATTTGCCTTGCACCCCAGTCTGATGGCCATTGCGACCTTTCTCAGCTCTCTCCCCATTTTCTCTCACGAGAAATTTTCCTTGATAAAATTTCCATTGCCCTTAATAAAACTGTTGTACGTCTAATCTTTGTGCCTACTTCTTGGAGGACCTGAACTAACACACGTTGGAAAATCTTTACATCATAATGTTAAGTAAAAAAGTTTCAAATGTTATGTAATCTATGACCTCATGTTTAAAACAAGCATAGCAAAAGACTAGAAGAAATTACAGAAATGTATTAATAGTAATCATCTCTTTCTGGTGGAATTATTCATAATACTGCATATGCTCTCAAACTTTTAGTGTGGTATTTGGGAGCACTGGTTTTGAAATCAGACCGCCATGAATTTGAGACTTTGTTCCTCCACTTATTAGCTGCGAAGTCTCTAGTAAGTTACTTAAACTTTCTAAAACTCAACTTGTAAAATGGGGATGATAGTAGTTCATATCTACTTCATATGATTATTATGAGACAAATAAAATAGTACATGTAAAATACACAACACAGTGTCTGGCACTTGGAAAAAATTATGACTAATATTTATTGAGCATTTACTATTTTAAATGTTCTATGATCAGCAATTTTCTTTTTAATTTGAAGAACATCACTTTATTTAAAAGAAGTGACTTTACCCCCATTGTCTTTAAGACACCCCTCTCTGACATCCCGCCTCCTCCTACAGCCATCTGGAGAAACAGAATCCAAACTCCATCAATCGATCAAAACCTATCTCCATCAGGAAGTCTTTCATAGCCCCTAGTTGAAATTAATCTTCTCTTACCCTTGGCAACCACCTGCCCCAAATTCTCACATTTGTCCTAGATGCCAGTCACAGAAGCTGCTATGTGAATGGCTGTACAACCCTGTGGGGATTAAGAAAATGCCACAGTCTCTGCTCTCCAAGAGCACATCATGTGCTTTTTCTCAAAACCAGCAATCAGTCCAGCATACAGGACATGGTTTAAAGAGCAGACAATTTCATTATTTATTTTGAGTTATTTCAAGTTAAGAGGGGAGTAGGATTGAATTCACATATACCCTAACGGCTCAAATCTATAAAGGAAATATTGTATGCGCACCCGCATGCGCACACGCACGGCAACTATGAGTAGGAATGAAAAAATCCAAAGGCAGCTTTCTTTTTGCAGTCCCTGGGTTCCTGCCAGTCTCAATAGGAGGCGAGGACAGTTCGGAGTAACAAGCATAGGGATTAAAGGGACATTTGAACTCATATAGCCTAGTCGTTTTCAAAGTTTCCCCTCCGCTTTTTCCTTCCACTTCTCCATCTTCTTTCCTCTCTCTTTAAGTAGAATTCTTGGTACAAATGATGTCTTACTGAAGCTTAAAAACTAAAAAAAATACAATGAACTATTCTGCCAGAAGGAAGAGTTCCTGTCTTATTTCTCTCCAAGGACCCTGTGGGCTGTCAAGCACCGTTTGAAATCCTCCCTCTAGTCCAAGCTCTCGCCCAAATAGGGGACTTCACAGGATCATGAATACGCCTGGAGATGAGGTGCTTACTAACGCTGATGGCTGCTCGTCCCATTGCTGAAGTTTTAGAAATATTCCTTCAATGTGGACCCATTGGTTCTACTTTTGCCTTCTAGAACAGTAGCAAATGAGTCAGCTCCCACTGCCTTTAAATTTCTTAAAAAAAAAAAACAAAAAAAACACACCACATGTGTGCTTATTAAATCTATTCTCTAGGAGAGGCAGGTTTACCATGAAGCTAATGAGCTCGAACTTCAAGACACCTTACTTGCCCAGGCTTCTCTAGGTCCTTGCTTTGTCTTCTTGTTCTACAAATGGAGCCCTCCAAATAAACAAGCCCCAGGATCGACAATGCTTGGATCCACTTCACTCCTCACCCTCTAGGGTAATCTAGATCCCTATCCCCTTAAGTGCTGTTCCACGGAAAAGCCACTCACCCTTCTGGCTGCTGTGCTTGGAATGCTCCCCATTTTGCCAACTGGCTGCAGGTGGCACCCAGAGCCATGCACAATCCTGCGGACGTGGTCTGGCCAGTGGGGTAACCACAGCCTTGACTGCAGTCCTGTCCTTCTGTTGAAGAGTCATCCCAGGACTACATTTGCTTCCTCCGCAGCTCACACTGGCCACTAAGTTGCAAGAGCTCCTGAGGATCTTTCCACCTGAGTGTCTCAAGCACATTCCCCTCCCTGTGTTCCTGCTACATGTCCTCTCATTGGTTTGAGCTCACCATTGTTTCTAGTCAAGATGTCCTGGAACATCAGTTCTGTCATTTAGCCTTTCAAATTTTTGTCAACTAAAAAATTAGATGAACTTGCTTTCTGTGACCAATAATGTCATTTTTCTCCCTCAAGCCAACATAACAAACTCAACATCTAACCTAAGTAAGGCCACTTATTAATATTTCCAGAAGGTCCAACAACGTTCTTTCAAGAATAACTTTAAAAAATAAATGCCAGTGTTGCAAACTGAACTAGAAGTCTATTATATGCTATAAAAGCATCAGCTGTCTATTCTGAGTTGTTTATTATTTTCCTTTTATTTTATTTTGTTTTTTTAATTTGTAAAGAAAAGAGGTTTATTTGGCTCATGGTTCTGCAGGCTGTACAAGAAGCATGGCACCAGAATCTGCTTCTTGTGAGGCCCTCGTAGTAGAAGGCAAAGGGTAGCTGGAATGTGCAGAGATCACATGGCAAGACAGGAAGGAAGAGAGAGAAGGGAGAGGTGCCAGGCTCTTTTTACAACCAGCTTTTGCAGGAACGAAGAATGAAAACTCACCCACCACTACCCCACAGGGAGGACCTTAATCTATTCATAAAGGACTCACCCCCATGACGCAAACACCTCCAATTAGATCCTATCACCAACATCGGGGATCAAATTTCAACATGAGGTATGGAAAAAACAAATATCAAAACCATAGTGTAGCCCCTCCCTCAAAGCCTCCCTTCCTCTCTCTTTTTTTTTTTATTTCAGAATATTATGGGGGTACAAATATTTTGGTTACATATAATGTCTTTGCCTTGCCCAAGCCAGGGCTACAAGTGTGCCCTTCCCCCATACAATGTGCTCCACATCCATTGGTTGTGAGTCTACCCCGCCCCCAACCTGACCGGCACCCAGTGAATATTACTACCATATGAGCACCTTAGTGTTGATCAGTTAGTACCAACTTGATGGCGAGTACTACTATTTTCCCTTTAAATAAATACTGTAAGGTAATCTCTGATGCCAAATACAAAGGTTAGTAGAATAATAGTTCCCCCCAAAATGCTTTTATTTATAAAGTTAAAAGTTGATTTAATAGTCTTGGTTTAGGTTTCTAAGTGAAAAGGGAAAAAAGTCTAAAGTTTATAATAAAATTAGACTAGTATAAGGAGTTAATTATGATAAAGAATAAAATGAACATTCTTTATATGTAATCTCCTTATATAAAATGTAATTTTTCAAAGTTTCATCTTATACTATAAAACAGTCATGTCTTAACTAATATGCCTTTAGCAGGAAATATCACACTTATGTAATAGTAACATATGAAAACTTTAATAATAATTATAATTACCTGAAATTTATTGAATATTTCCTGTGTGCAAACACTGTATTATGTACTTTTTGTATACTAACACATTAAAAAATACTATAGTGGAGAGGATTTTTGTCGAATAAAATAAAGGCAATGCCCAAATAATTGTTTATTCTTATTTTAAATCTGATATTAGAGCTGAAATGTCATTTATTTGTTATAGTCTCCTCAATTTGATTAGAAAAGAAATAGAATAAAATCAAAGTCCTCTTCTTTATCCAAGAGTTTTCATTATTTGGTGACACAATTCACATTTTATGCCACTGTCCATATTTTTCCTTGAAACATATCCAGGAAACGAAGTGATTCAGAAGTTGCAAATAACTCAAATGCTGTTGAATTACCTCACATGCATTCAGAATGATCATAAGGTATTTTGCAAATTGCTTCTTAACATTTCAATAGATCATCCCACCAGGCTCCAGTGTAAAGAAGCCAAGGAGACAAGCCCCGCCCTAGAAGTGATAAAAAACTGACTGCAGATGCTTCTAGAGGTCACTGGGTAGGGTGCAGGGATAGGGGGAGAGGATGGAATCAAACTAATGGCCTATTAAAGGTTTTATAGGAAAATCCCTTGAGCCCTCTTCTGTTTTTTATACCTTGTTGTTTTCATCCTAGGTAATTTCATGCATAGTCAGGGCCTGAAGTAGCATCTGGGAATTGAGGATTGCTAGAACTTCATCCATGGCTCAGACTTCTCCCAGGGGTTGTATTAATACTTTCTATTACCGGACATTTCCACCTGGAAATTCCATGGGCACTTCGAAGTCCGCCACAACCCAAACTTAATGACCAACTTTTCATTCCCCCAGTCCCAAGCATGATCTTCCTTCTATATACTCCCTCTTAGAGAATTGCAGTCATCACCCAGTAGTCCACAGCAGAATCCACAGCTCTCTCTCTTGATGTGCAATAATCACCAAGTTCTTTGGAGTGTATCTTTTAAGTAGCTCTCAAGTCCTTTACCCTTAGTCCTCTTTTTTGGTTTTGCTGGTTATAAAGGTTTGGATTGGAGAGGGCTCACTGGATCCCAATCCTTGGAGCTGGATCATTGGATTCAAATCATAACGTGGATAGGATAGGGAGGATGAATTACAAGGATTCATGGAGTGGGATCAGATTACCAGGAACATAGGAGTGGATTCCTGCCCCAACCAAACCACATTTGTGTGGATTTTTTTTATTCAACTTAATTGGCTATTCCAAAGATTTTTTTTTTCCTAGTTTTGACAATTGGAGACCTTAAGATGCACGATGGGATTGTGTTTTGCATTTTTTGGTAAAAGGAGCAAAGCGAGGACCTGGAGATGTACGCTGGAGCAATCTCCTTGGAAGGATTCAGCATGAGTAGATGGTAAACATTTAAAGGGGAAAGGGGGGTTTGTTTAAAATAGTAAATCAGTAAGTCACTTCTAAATTTAAAGAAAACAAAACTGGAGTTGAAGCATAAGTAGATTTCCAATTGGCTATTGCCGTTTTTCTTTGAAAAAAAAATAAACATTTTTTAAAAAACTGAAAAAAAAAAAAACAAAGGTCCTGAGTTCTGGACCTCACCTTCCTCACAGGGATCACTTCAATTGCATCTCAGCATCTGGACTCACCCCTCCTTCAAGCCACTGTCTATCTCACAACCACTGTGACCTTTTTACAATGTGCTCTGATCACATCACCAGCTGCTGAAAATCATCCCCTGGACATTTCAGCACCCTTATCTCCCATTGCCCACATCCACACATGCGCCTGGGCTCCAGCTCTGCCCAACTCACGTGCTACACATGGTTGTCATCGTTTCATACCTCTGCATCTGTTTCCATGCCTTGTAAAGTCCTTATGCCTCAAACACAGTCCAGTTAACATTTCCTTATCCTCAAAGTCTCAAACTGAAGGTACTGTCCAGGGAGCGCTTCTCTGCCCATTCGAAATCCCACCTCACTCAGATTTCTTTGCCCAATCTTTGTGTGTTCATAACACCCTAAAACTTCCTCAATTAGAGCACTTATCACATTGGGTTTTAATTATCAATTTACTTATTGACCTGCTCCCCAGACTTAATTAACTTCTTTGAGCACAAAGACTGCATCTCATTCACCATAGTATCCTCATTACCTAACAAAGGCACTTAATAGCTATTTGATTTATTTATTCATAAACATCCAGTTGAAATACCTTTCTCATTTGTATTATATTTAATGATAAGACACATGTATGATTGATTCTAAAGGTAAATAGTGCAGTAACTAAGATCAAATTCTTTCTCTTTCACTTACAACCTGAGAGAATTAAAGCAAGTTACTTAAGTCTCACATAAATCCTGTAAGAAAATGTAACTATACGTTACATATTGGAAAACTGAGGCACAGAGAGATTCCATGATTTGCTATATGTAAAGTGCTTTGAATAATTCTTGGTACATAATGAATATTAAATAAATGAGAGCTACTAGCTTCAGCTCCGATTAAATCTCAACATGAAATCATGGTTGTTTTTAAGCTTGAAACTTTATAGCTCTTCCAAAATATGAGTGGCAGATTTTCATTACCAGTGGGGTTTGATTGATACTATCCTGTTGGTTTTCTTTCTGGATTTTTCTTGGAAATACAAAAAAGCACATGGTATGAGAAGACTATGGCACTGACGATGCACCCAAGGCAACTGTGCTTTAGGAACACAAAGCACACATTTGGTGTGTGGTGCATTATATCACGCTGCACACATTTGTATAACTGATGTGTAAAAGAATTAGTGTCATTCAGTCCAACTGCTAAGGCTGCAAAAAGAAATGATGACAGAAATTAGTCTTTACCTATTACCCAGGATATAATGAGCATCTCCATCCATGAGAAGCAGGATGTTTTCATCCTGAACAGCTGTTTTGCATTATCTGTGCTGGTTTCATTAGGAAGGAGTTTGGTGCCTTCAAATCTGTCAGCTGCATTCATGACTAGCAGTCCCAGAAAAATGGTGAAGGAGGCTGCGTGTGCTACAAACTTCATAAATGGTCCGCGCATTATCTTCCCCATCTGCCACAACACACACCAAAAGAAAATATTAACTTTGTGTTGTACATTTTGCAGAACACACACATATACATACAAGCATAAATATCTGCATATTTCCATGTTCTTCTCAGATAATTATGAATGTCCATATAATTAGTGATAGAATAATAATTTTTCATGCTGTTATAAAATATCAGTCACACTGTTCACCAACATGTACTGATGTTCTTGATTAATAAATAAACTTACTTTTCTATTAAAGGATTTTTAAGTTC